ATATTCATAGTGTACATAATAATTAATAAAAATTATGTGTCAAACACTGCTAAATAAATTTCAGCATTACTAGATTAATCTTGACAATGACTCTATGAGATTGATGTTATTATCTTCATATTATAGACAGAAACTCCACAGATTCAATGGACCAAGAAACTTGTCCCAATTGTAGGATGTGGTCATCAATATGGAAACACAGATTTTCCTTGCTATTAGTCTGTGCTCTATCTACTAACATGAACATACATACATAGGAACAAGAATGAAGGAATAAAACACACTTATGGGGTAAAAGTGATTATATGGTAGTATTAGTCCATAATTATATGGATTATTATATATATATATATATATATATATATATATATATATATGAGAATATTATATGATAGTTATTACACTGTTACTTATTCCTTTTCTTTATTTTCACACTTTCTATAATGACATATCTGTTTTAGACTACAAACAACCCCAAACACAGTAGTACACCAACCCCCATTTTATTATTTTCATAGTGTCTCAGTTCAAAAATTCACACAGGATGCAGAGGTATGGCTTGATTCTCCTCCATAATGTTTAGAACCTCAGTTGAGAAGATGTGAATAACTGAGTATTATTCCATTGGTGAGGGGATTAGAATCCTCTGGAGGTTTCACATGCAGTTTCCTAGGCTGGAGTGATTTGAAGGCTGGACTTAGCCAGGTTAGCTGATTGGAAAGTCCTTGTGTAATAGGAACTGTCTCCATGGAGCCTGGGCTTCCTTACATCAGGGCTTTCTCAGATCAGTCAGACTTCTTTTTTTTTTATCATTTATTGATTTTATTATTTTTTAAATACATAACAGCAGTGGAATGCATTACAATTCTTATACACATATAGAGCACAATTTTTCGTATCTCTGTATATAAAGTATGTTCACGTCAATTTATGCCTTTATACATCTACTTTGTTTATTTTTGCATCGCAATTCTTAACACACATATATACCACAATTTTTCATATCTCTTTTATATATAAAGTGTGTTGACACCCAATTCAAGTCTTCATACATGTACTTTGTATAATGATGTCCATCACATTCCACCATCCTTGAATGTGGTGGCTCAGGACTCCAAGAGCACAATGCTCAGCAAATGAAATGGAAACCATGTGGCCTTCTATAACCTAACCTTGGAAAAAAAACAACTTACTCTGCTGTACTGTATTGGTGTCAACCCAGCCTTATTCAATGTGAAGGGACATAAAACTCACATTTTAATGGGAAGAGTATAAATGGTATTTGCCATATTTTGAAACTAACAGAAAATATATTGTATCCACATCAGAAGAAAACAAATTTTTAGGCATAAATAAATCTATTTCATTTTTTTGTTCTGAAAAAGAATTTATAAAATTCTTGGTTTTTTTAACTTTGTTTTTTACTTATACAATATGGCAGTAGAGGATCTGAGCTCTCTGATACAGTGTCTACTTATTATGGCTTTATTCTCAGTAACAATCACAGAGCCAACAACAGGCAGGATATTAGTCATTCATTTAGAGTGCAAAGTGGTAGTTGCCACCACTACAAAACATTGCATAAATTTGGGGGTCTATTCTATCCCAAATCCTATTTCTTCAAGGATATAGTGAGACTACTTTTTCATATACTCCTTACTCTTCCATAAATAAATTTTCTTTTGTTTCAAAATAATAACTATTGTATACATAAATATGTTAGAGAAGGTTAATATATTCCACACTTTAAAATGCTTTCATGTGTCTTATTGAAGAAAAATAAGTTTAGCTAGAGCATGCATAAAGGAAAACCTGCCAGTTTCCCAGCAAACTATTGCCAGTTCAAGTTTTAAGAGCCTATCCTTTTACAAAAACTGACATTAGACACTTGTTGTATATCATAACATGCAGGAACTAAATGAGATCAGCCTCATAATATTAGAAACTTGCCTTATATTTATATTTTATATGAAAGCTTTTCCTAGTAGATATGTAGTATATTGTTGACTTTAAATTTTTCCATTAGGTCAAGGTATACCTATAGAGTAGAAGAGAAATGTTTCAGGGCTTGTCCTTTATCTGTAGTAAAGTACCTCATCTCAAGTTTTTCCTTGAGACCAGAATCAAGATCTGCTGAAATACTGTGGAAAGTCAGAAGTGAAGCATGGACTTTAGAGTTCAGAAGTTTTAGGTTTGTATCTATCTCCAACACTTACAAACTATTTAAGGTTCAACAGTACTTTAAATTTTTTGAACCTGAATGTCATCAGCTATAGAATAGGGATAATAATAATATTTCTTTTGCATAGGCAAGATATGAAGCTTATATAAGAGGAGGTAGATAAACCATATTACTTGGTATTTGGCCCATGTACATAATTTATAAGTAGTAATGATTATTTTGTTACTGTTCTCTTTAATATGATGTGGTAAGATAAAAATTCTTTATCAATAGTGTTCAGTGATATAGAACCTTATACCAGACAGAAGTTGAGCTTGAGAAATCCAACCAAAGTATGAAAGGATGATTATTACTTTTAATTAAAACCATTTACCTATTCTGAAAAAATTATAATATACTTTTTCTTGAATTCCACAAACGTTGACTAAGTAAGAAGAAAACAAAGGCACTTGAGAAAATGATGAATTTGCATTTACTAGAATTTGTCTGATAGATAAATATTTCATATGTTGCATGATTTACATATAACTTATTTTAATTTAGCCTATACAGTTCTTGTCATAAATAAGTACTCATTAATAAATATGTTAAATAAAAAGAATATTCATCTTTTTACTGATTTTTGCGTTCTTTATGTATTAAATATATAAACATTTTTTTTTTCTTTTTGGGAAAAGGTCTCACTGTGTTGCATAGGCACTGAAATTCATGATCCTCCTGCCTCAGCCTCCCAAGAAGCTGAAATAAAGGCACAATCCAATGTTACCAGATCACTTGTCACTTTTATATGTTATCACTATTTCTACAGTCTGTTACTGTTTCTACATTCTGTCACTTAATGTTTCTCAAAAATATTATATATTCCCTGTATTTTTTAAAATGACTTTATACTTAAAAAAAACTTTTTTTTTACCTTAAATTCCTGCCCATATAGATGAAAAAATGTTTAAAGGCTACATCTTTCCCATTTATCTTGGTGATCATGTCTTTAGCCACCACCATTCAAAATTAAAAGTTATTAGTGAAGTTGAAGTTGACTCCTGTGGATTTTTTTTCTCAAGAGTAGGAATTTTCCATCTCTATTCACCATTAAACTAGCAGACATTACTTTATTGCAGTACTGATACAGAGCTTTTCTTGGTTTAGTCCTTCAAGTGTTTCAATGGTTAATTAATGAAGTAGAGGGAATATAGTTATGGAAAGGAGGTAAAGGAAAATAGAAGCAGAAGCTAGGAGATGGACTAAAATCATCACCTCAATTGCAAATTTGAGGGTTATGATAAGCTCCAGACTTCTATGTTCAATAGTAATGAGTTCTATTGAGTATTGTGCCAGGTACCTTTTAAGTGCTTTATATGTATTATTAAAACAGTTGTATACAGTTATCTTGCCAAGGAAATTAGTGAAGAGGGGCTGTAGAATTTGCCCTAGTTCACACAGTCATTAGCAGAGCTGGGAGTCTAACCAGGCAGGCTAAATCTATGATCAATAAGCATATCCTACACTATATGAATCTCAGATTTAACATGTGAAAACATTTTAGTTCTTCCTGATTCTTCATCTCTATATCATTTCATTAACCTGCTACTTACTGTACTTGGAGAAAATCCAACCCAACCTCCATCATGCCTTTATAAGGCCTTACAAACTCAGACATCTTTGAATTTATCTTCAATATTACTTTTCTCTTGTTGTTTTTAACCATCTACTAAACACTTGTCTTGTTTCTAGTCTTCAATCACACCAAATCTATTTCCATCATAGGACTTTTGCACTAACTGTTAATGCTTATCCTAATGCTTACCTTAGTGGTACAGTGCATATGTGGGGCTTTGGGTTCCATCCATAGAAAATTATTATAGGCTACTTTTAGGCTGAGCAACAGTAGGTTGAAGATGAAATATTTATCTAACTTTTTGGTAGAGAAGATAGGTGGAGGAAAAGAGTTGGAAAATATTAAATTATTTTTTCTATTTGAAGCTCTTTACTGAAGTATTAAAAATATTGGGTTTTTTAATTAGAGAATTTTCTAGTTACAGTGTGAAATAATATGTGTGCAATTTACAAATGCAATGGCATATTCCATGAAGATTTTATTTTATTGCCACTTGGTGTGTTGATGAACCAAGTATTGCGGAAGTTGTGACTTGAATTCTTACTTTGATGGAGAGGGTTAAACATGGAGATCTTTGCATTCCCTTCCAATTCTGGACTTTTGTGAATACATGACCTACCACATCATCCTTTTGAGTGTTCTGACTTGTTAAAAAGAGTCAAGGAAAGAAAGACACTACTGATTAATTATGTATAGGTCCCATGATACTGTGTATTACAGAAGAAGCAATTACTGAACTACTTTGAAACAGTCCAGTGAGCTGCAGTTTGTTCTTCTTAGAAGGAATATTTCATCTTCATCTCTAAAAGAAAAACAAAAATAAACCTTCACACAATTCCTATAAATTCTTAACATCTTTTGTAATTAATTTTAGTTGCTGGAGAAAGCATATGTATTAGAGTGATCTACATGTAAGATTGAGTTCAGTTGCAAGAACCTTACCATAGATAAGTGTCCATTTGTCTTTCATGGTCAAGTGGTAAAGAATTGATTGGACCTAAACAGCTCTGACATTTGCTCCTACATTTCAACCATGTGAGAGCCACTTTCTGCTATCTAATATACTCTTATGCCAGAAATCACACTTAGGTTTTCTCTGAGCACCTAAACTGGCTGACAGTCAGGAAATCAATACATCCTGTTGCACAGATTTCGTGTCTGCTATTAGTAGAAAAGTAACACTAAAGATGTGTTTTCTTGCAGGACAGTGCAGAATTGATCACATCCCTGATTCACAGTGGAGCTGATATACAGCAAGCTGGATACGGTGGCCTTACTGCTCTCCACATTGCTGTGATAGCTGGTCACCTAGAGGTAAGTCATGCCTTTGTTACCTGTGAAGACAAAGATTAGCTACCTCTTCAAATTATTCTCAGTTTTCAACACTGGCTTTTGAGATGATAGAAGTTGGTTTGTTTTTTAGCTACTAAGCACATTAATTTCTTTTGACAGTAAAATTTAGCCATTCGAATGTACTTTTTATAGTTCAGAACATTTTGTAATGATGTAATCAAATATCTACTAATATAAAAATGGCTGTGTATGAGAGACTTTCGAGCAGTGATTAAGATCATAAGTTTTGAAATCAAGTAGTTCAGCTTCCAAAAGTCACCATATTAACTTTGGGGGAATTATTGAATCTCAAAACACATGTATGTTAGAATAAAGTTGTGTTTTAGAAAAAAGCAATAGTGGATGGGTGATGTAGCTCAGGGGTAGAGCACTTGCCTAACAGGTGTGAGACCTTGGGTTCATTCCTCAAAATAGTAATAGGCCTATTGTAATGATTAAATAGTCCAGATAGAGCACTCCGCAAATTATTTTGTACAGAGTAAGGACTGAATGAAAGATAATTTAATCTTTCATCCTCTTATGCACTACTTGAATAAACGTATAGTAAACATGAGTTATGTACCAGATACTGTTCTAGGTGCTATAATAGTGAGATAGTCAAAAATCTCCATTTTTGTGAACTTTAATTATAAACAAGACAGACAAAAAAGAAAATATTATACAATGTCAATTAATGAGTACTGCTAAATAATAAAATGAAAACACCCTGTGGGAGAAATAGACACCATTTTAAGTAAGCTATATAATGAAGGCCTCTGAAAGAAGGTGATACTGGAGCAGAGATTTGAGTGAAATGAGAGCAGCAGCCACATAAAAGAAGAAAAGCATATTTTGGGCTTAAGTAATAGCACATGCATAGCCTGGAGGCATAAAAAACCTGGATGTGTAGAGGGACATGAGGTAGAATGATGGAGATAAAGTCAGGTGGATGTTTGCAAGTCAGACCACGAAATGTTTTAAAGGCCATGGGAAGCTTTGGATTTTGTCTTAAATTTAATTTTCAAAGTATTAACTTTATATATGCTACTATGCAATTATTTTATTAACTTTACAAATCCTTATGAAATAGTTTTTATTGTCATTGCTATAATAGATATAAAATCAAGGCTTTTGTATAATAATCATCACTACAAATTGGAAAAAAAAGAGCCACATCTAAAATCCTAGTCATTTATCTCAAAATCCCATCATATTCATACTCTATCATTTGTGACAACAATGTGAAACTCAACAATGTAATAAATGAACAGTCTAACATCCTCATTATTGAATAGTTATCTTTGCAAATTGTCATATGGCAAATTAAATCATGCCTATTTCACTAAGACACAAAACACATACCAACTATGAACAAAAAGAACTACATATAAAAATCATAAATAAAACCTATGAAATATGTGTGATCCATCTTTCTTGACAGTGTCACTTTAAAGGGCTCTTACATCCAATAAATATTAAAATATCTCATTGAGAACAAGACAGTTTCCTTCATGTTTATATTTCTGCTCCTTACCAGATCACTTTATTTCCCAGAAAATAAGTCTTTATGGTGAGATTCATAGTATCATTGACAATATAATTAAGTTTGTATTACTTATGATGAAAGGGAAATATCCTGTCAGAATTACTTAAACACAACAGTTTTCCCACAAAAAGATAAATTATCTGAGGGCAATGATAAGTAGATAGAGTGATAAACTTTAAGAAAGCTTGATGGAAAAACTGATGAAGTAAACATTAGGCACTAGTAAAACATGGTCAACATTTCAATGCTAGGAAAATAACAGAATATACTGTTGAAAACAAAATCCTTTTTTTTGTCTAATATTGAGCAGATTACTTTGTGAGCCCTAGAATTTTAATGGGGTTAAAAGCAGGGTGTTGGTCTCCTCATCTTCTATTCAAATAGCTCTGTATTCTTGTTTTGTAAATCATAGTATAAATAGCAGTATTTTATCTATTCTACCAGCCTTTGGGCAAACTTGACCAAAATAGTTTCCAACACATCTCTACTCTTATATGTCTTTTAGATCTCCAACATCCCTTATCAGCTGATGTACAACATTTAATGACTTTTATAGTCAACCACTTGACACTACATAAAACAGGCTTAGACACATTAACCTTTATTTGCTTTTTACATAATGGATTAATTAAGTTACTGGTCAGATAATGAAGGGAAATGGTATCCCACAAAGCAATCTAAAACAATTATATTCTAAATGCAGAATTTTTTGAATTATTTCTTTCAAAACTATTCGCTGTGATAAATACTTTTGATGTGTTAATTTTTCTAGTCCATACTGAGGAAAAATCATTTGGCTCCAAATAGACTGATTTTCTAGAAGATGAAATTCAAGTAGAAACATTGATATATTGTATAGTGTTCCCCCTTTCCCTGCAGTTTCAGTTAACCTTGGTCAACCATGATCTGAAAATATTAAATGGATATTCCAGAAATAAACAATTCATAAGTTTTAAAAAACTATTATTACATTACATTGTTATATTTGTTCTATTTTATTATTGTTGCTGTTAATCTCTAACAGTGCCTCATTTGTAAATTAAACTTTATTATATGTATGTATGTATAGGGAAAACATAATATATACAGATTTAATTATTACCTGTGGCTTCAAGCATCCCCTGTGGGTTTTGGAACTTATCCTCTTTGGATCAGGGGTACTACTGTGCACAGTTGGCAATTCATGGAGAATTCTGAGCTTAAAATAAGTTTTGGTGTATATAGATGAAATTTGAAACCATAACAATAATGGAAAATTATGTATCAGGCACAATGGATGGCCCATAAACTGACCCTAAGAATCCACAGAGATTTGAGAAAGAATTAAATATCTATTAAATGAGACAAAGAAGGTTGGTCAGAGTAGTATAGGAAAACTAGGTCCTTATAGTATCATAACATTTAGAATTTCAGAAGTTTGAGGATTCTGGGAATCAAATGGTGCAGAATAGCCAAGTACTATGGGATAAAGTATACATATAGCATCTCTTTACTAATCAAAATTTACATGCCTATTCCACTGCTGTTTTTACTACTTTGGTTAGGAGGAATAGTAGCAATGTATCAATGGGGTGGGTGTTTCCTTTCATTAGTAGTCCCTGTCTTTTATGGTCCACCTTTCTGTGTGAAACAATAGATGATGCTGAGTCTGACAGGCCTCTTTGTCTCCACATATCAAATTCAGATCTTCCATTAGTGTCTCAAGTGTGTTTGTCCTCCCATAATTGTGAATTCTATTTTTATTGTAACAATTTTACAATAAAATTTACATCGACTAGGCAGCTGTCTCTTTCAATAATTGAAGAGAAAGTGTGTTGAAGATTCCTAGACATGCTGACTACAATTTGAGCACTCAGAGTTAAATTTACTGTGACTAAAAAAAGAGAAAAATATTGGTTATCTCAGATCTTAACATTTTTCTTTGATTTATCCATCTATCAATACATACACATATACTGCTTCATATAAAGCCTAAGATTCATATAGTAATCTATGGATTCAAGGTTAGACATGAGTCAGATGCTGTATTGGACCTTGAAAATGTATATATTATATATAAAATATATACTTTATATTTTTCGTATACTTATATATAAAATATATATTTTATATACTTTATGTATTTTATATACTTTATATATTTTATATATATATATAAACTTGTTGAAACTTGGTAGTACTTCATCATTCACATACATTTGTCATTTGGTTCTCCTGTGAGATCAGTAGTATTAGACTAAAGAATTATAAAAGTTAAATGAATACTATAAGGTCATTCAGACAATAAATGAGCTGGATGAGACTCAAACTTGATCTCCTAAACTCAAGTCTACGGTTTTGTTAAAAAAAATAATAAGAAGAAGAATTATTCCCTAGAGACTCTTGTGTGTTTATTGCTAAAATAAGGCTTATACCCATGAGACAGACAGACAGACACACACACACACAGTGCTTCTATCCACAGGCCACACTAACACACACAAATACACAAACTATTCAGAAAAAAAGTATTAAGAAATCCAAAAATACATGAGTATGTTACTACTAATGTTTAGGCATTACTACATAAATGTAATTAAAGCAACATTAATTTATTCAGGCATTAATACATATGTAATTAAAGCAACATTAATTTATTCAAAAATGTCTTTATTTGCCATTTACTAATTGGGGTGCCAAAACCCATGGAGATATGTATACACACATTTCTTTCTTTCTCTTTCTCTGTCTCTCTGTCTCTCTCTCTCTCTCTCTCTTTCTCTCTCTTACAGATACACAGACACACACACACACTTTATACTTAATATACATATACATATACAAATATTTATACTTAATCACATACTGTATAAAAAAAGTTGTCATGCTGGTGTTTAATGTAGTAGTTTCTGCAGTTATCAAGAGACAAATGAATTATCTGTAGCTGTAGACAATTGTTTGTGCAGCAAACAGAAATGCATATAGCAACAAGATGACACAATGCATATTGTGTAGAAGTTGTGGAATGTTTTATTTTTCATGGAAAGGTATAGTTTCATATACACCCTGTGCATGTGAGAGTAATATTTTCATAGTTAAATTTATTCCATCATACCTTATCCCATTTTCAGATTGTAAACATTTATCCAAGCACTGCTTCAGAAATGCTTCCCAGTTATTTTGGAATTTATTTCTGATTTCAAGGAAATGCAATTGATGTTGTTCTAGTTCATTCTTAACTAAATCATCTAAATGTTTCAGTTGAGAGTTTTGTTTACCAAGAAGCTTCAGACTCTCTACATTATTTCTTTTATAATGGCTTTAGTTTTCTCCCCACAGGCAAAAACAAGAGAATGCTTAGAATTATAAAATGTGGTTTCCTTCTATCTTTCCTTTTTTATAGAGGTAAGATACTCATGAGTTTTATAACTGAGCAGTACCAGATTTGTCTCCAATC